GTTTAAGAAATTTGACTTGAGTTTAGAAAGTGTCTCCCCTAAGAGAAACTTCTTTCTTTGTATATAACCCCTGGGTTCTCAGGGTTCAAAGAGATAATACAAATCAGCTGGTTTAGTAGATGTTTGAGATTAAATCCTTGGTTGAGTCCCATCTGGATTCTTGAGAGCCTTATTCTGTATGCACTTCATGGCCTATGTATGTTTTGTGTCCTACCCAAAATGAATAAAATGAAATGTCAACTATTCAAAAAATAGTTTCTTTCTTTCTGAGGCATCTGGATTTTTGAAATGTTCTGTTTAAAACATTTACCTTAGAATTTATTAGCTATCATCAAAATGGCATCGTTAGGCATCTGTGTTAATGTCATTTTTTAATGGGATGTAATTTTTTTAAAGTCTTTCTGAGGGTAGATTTTTGTCTTTCTCTGTTTTGCTGCTATTTTCTACCAGCGAGATACCATCTTTTTCCAGATTGTTAACCTTTTGTTTCTGTTTGACATGGATAACAAGGCTCAGGGTTGATGTGAACAATTGTGGTTCCTTTGTATTTTAGCCAGAGGCATTGAGGAAGAGAAGGAGGGTTTGAGATAAAATTTTTGGTAAAAAACGATTAGAAGATACAGAACAAACTGAGGACACAGAAAATGCCATGCACAACTATCTCTAGGGTGGGGGGGGGCGGTTCGTCCTTGGCCTTTAAGTAGAGTACCCACAGCAATGGAGGATAAGGGCCCCATATATCAGTTTGCATCTTGCACTTGCAATTCTCAAACCAGTTTTAGAACAGTAATAACAGTGACAAGGGGGTGTATAGTCTATGTGTTCTCACAGCTTGTACTCAGTGTTTACAGCTCTAGTTTGCCTTCTAAAATCACAGGTCACTTAATATTCCATCAACTGAGTCTTGGGGAATGTTTCAAAATTCATCTGGCTTTTGTGTCATGGTTTCTGCATCCCTCAGAACCTCACATTCAATGAGAGAACATCCATTATAGACTCTTGGGAATATTTAGATTTCGACTTCACAAGTATGCAATGTTCAGTTGAAATGAAAAGGAACTTTGATTTTTTAAATTAATTAATTTTTATATTGAATCACTGTGAGATACACAGTTACAAAATTGTTCATGATTGGATTTCAGTCGTACCATATTCCAACGCCCATCCCTTCACCAGCGTGTATTTCCTACCACCACTGTCCCCAGTTGCCCTCCTGCCAACCACCCCTCACCCCCAGCCTGAACTTTTTTGTTGTTGTTGCCTTTCTTGCCTCCTAGAGCCTCTTTAGCACCTATTTAACAGTTTTCCTACAGATAGAGGCAGTCTGGGGAGGCTTGTGTGAGTTCACACCTGCCTGGTGTTCTTTAGAGTGTCTCCATCAACAGGATAGTCATCACAGGGGAGTGGAGAAATGTTGATCCCAGAGGGTGGGAAGATGAGCACTTCCCCACACTCCCCTGCCACTCTCCTTCCTGTCCCTTTGCAATTGTTGTATTGAAGGACTTGGACGCATTAGGGACTCCAATTGTGGGACTCACCAGGGCTGCCCACTTCAGTTGTGCTGTCCTGCCGACTTGGTTGCAGTGTTCTGGGGGACTCACACCCAGATTGCAGAGCTGGCACATGTGTAATTGTGTTGTGCTGGGGATACACACTTTTTGTTGTGGCATCCCGGGATTCCTGGGGGCAGTGCTGCCGGGATTGCACTGGGGGTAGGGTGGATCTGGGAAAGGACTCCCCACCTCAGCTCTGTAAGGCAGGTGTTCCACTATTTTAGGGCTGCCCAATCCAGAGGGTTAGGTCCTTCTTCTCCTCTTTTTTCCTTTATCTTCTCCATTAAATTTTAGGTGATAGGGTTACAGTGTTGCTCAGATGTATGATATTTATGTATATAAAGTCACTGTTTACCCTGGCCACCAAAGTGCCCATGGTCCCCTCCCTAGGTCACCTCAAGTGTGACCGTCCTCCTCATAGTTTGTGGATTGACACTTATGGTTTGGGTCATATTCATCTCTTTCTTGGCCACCACTTTATATTCTAGGCCCTCCAGCTACGTTCCCTTGTTACTTCCAGTCAGCCTAGTCCTTCCCCCTTCCCACTCTGACCTGGAACTCTAGTATTTATAATTCAGTGTACAAAGTTTATTATTTATTATTATAAAAGGTTTATTTTATGACCTTATTCTGCTGTTAAAGATAACACAAACAAAAATAAGTGGGACTATAGCACTGTAGCACTGTCCTCCCGTTGTTCATCTATTTGCTCGAGTGGGCCCAGTAACATCTCCATTGTGAGACTTGTTGTTACTATGTTTGGCATATGGAATACGTCGTGGGTAGCTTACCAGGCTTTGCCATGCGGGCGAGATATTTTCAGTAGTTTGCCGGGCTCTCCAAGAGGGGTGGAGGACTCGAACTCTGGTTGGCCGGGTTGGCTGTGTGCAAGGAAAACACCCCACCTGCTATGCTATCGCTCCTGCCTATGTAAAGTTAAAAGGTTTTTGCATGGCAAAAGGAATTCAGGCTACAATAGAAAGGCATCATACTCAGTGAGAGAAATTATTCATACACAGTGCTTCTGATAAAGAACTAAAGTCTGAAATCTATAAAGAACTCACAAAGCGCAGCAACAACAAAACAATAACCCTTCTCCAAAAATGGGAGAAGAGATGAAGATATGTCCATGAGGGAGACATACAAGTGGCCAATAAGCATATGAAGAAGTGCTCATTCTCAGTAGTATCAGTGAAATACAAGCCAGAGCAAGAATGACTTATCACTTCACACCAATGAGAATGGCCCATGTAAAAAAAAATTCTGCAAACAAGTGTAGTGAAAAACGAACCCTTATTTATTATTGGTCATCTGGTCCAGCCCTATGGAACATAACATGGAGATTTCTCAGAATGTAAGAACAAAGTTCATTTTGGACCCAACTGTCCCACTTGTAGGTATCTACCCACAAAGTAGAGAAACGAGAGTTGGAAAAATAATGTGCATGATGTGTTATTGCAGTTCTTATACATTAGCTAGGATATGGAAGCAACCCAAATGCCCAACAGTAGATGAAAGAAATTGGTATATGTCCACAATGGAGTACTGTGCTGTAGCACTGTGGCACCGTCCTCCCGTTGCTCATTGGGCATCAGTAACATCTTACAACAAATTGCGAGACTTGTTGTTACAGTTTTTGACATATTGAATACATCACAGGGAACTTGCCAGGCTTTGCTGTGCGGGCAAGATACTCTTGGTAGCTTGCCAGGCTCTCCAAGAGGGACAGAGAAATAGAACCTGGGTCAGCCGCATGCAAGGCAAACGCCCTACCCGCTGTGGTATCGTTCCAGCCCAATACTGTGCTAACATAAGAAAAAATTAAAAAGTCATGCAGTTTGTGGCAACGTGGTTGAAATTGGAATTCATCATGCTGAGCAAAATAAGCCAGAGGGCAGAGGACAAATTCAGGAGAATCCCACAGTTTTTAATGGAAAGGGTGAGACCAGGTGAAGTGAAGTAGAAATACAGCTAGTCTTCAGTTTGAAAACTTCCCCCAAGGAATTTCTGAAACTACAAAATTTCAACATGCCAGAGGCTGTTCACCTTGGAGTCTCCTGCCCCCGTGCCTGGCTGTCTTCGCCAGGGCCCCTTCGAGGGGAGGGGGTTGAGTTTCCCTCCCTGCCTCGACCAGGGCTTTGGCAGCCGAAGACCTCCAGAACCAGCCACCACCATGCTGAGACCACTCTCTGCACACCTGAAGGTACCAACAGAGGAACAAAAGCACGCGGGTCCCGGGGCTGAGATCTCCAAGCCTGCTCGGATCAGAGTTGCGCATCCTCCACCCAGATCCTCCAAATTCCAGTAGGCGGGGATCACACCCACCAACTGGCCCCCTAGCGCTGTGTAATCCCATCAATGGCCAAGACTCAGAGACTATAAAACCCAGCTCCCGGAAGCATCTTATTATATCATTCCTACTTTGGACAGTTTGGCAGGCTACCGAATGTAACCTGCCCACACGGCAGAGTCTGGCAAACTCCCCGTGGCGTACCCAATATGCCAAATACCAGTAACAAAGATGGGTCTCATTCTCCTAACTCTGAAAGAGCCTTGATTATGGCACTTTTTAAAAAATCTCAGGGCTAGGATGAAGGAGACGTTACTGGGGCCTGCTCGAGGCAATCGACGAATAACAGGATGGTCGTGATTGTCGTGATCATGAACAAAATTTCAGTTGAGTGTGTGTGTGTGTGTGTGTGTGTGTGTGTGTGTGTGTATGTAATATGCTTTGAGGTAACCAGAATGGCTATTATTGTTCCTGATTTATTTTATTTGTTTAATTTTTATTTTTTGGGCCAGAACTTACTCTTAACTATTCATTGAGGGATAACTCCTGGAATGGTTCAGGAGAGCATATGATGTATACCAGAGATCGATCGGGTGGCTCCTGGGATCAGTGACAACATTTGTAATATAGCAGTTGATACGTAAATGTGTACACTTGAAAACCCAAGTCTATTTATAAATAATTCAATAAATAATTATCACTTCATACTTCCACAGTGCCCCGGTAGTATCACCTCTGTAGTCCTTGCATTGAACCACCTGCCCAGTTGACTGAGAATCACCAGTGGAGACCCCCAGGCTTCCTGAGTACCACTTCAGAGCTTCCTCCACCCCACCCCACAAAGTATACAGAAGCCTGTCACCATTAGTGCAAAAGAGTTTTCCTTTTTTTCTCAAGTCAAGGTGAATCCAGTGTGTGAGCATGATTTTGACTTGTGTGAATAGACACAATATTCTTAGAATGAAGTCATGCACTGCTAATCGCCTGACTCTGCATTCATTCCAGAGGGATGGCTCTTGGTATCACACTTGTGAGTGCTTATGTGTCCTGAGTACTCCCAGCATGGCCACCTATGGAAAGAGAGCTCGTGGCAATTCTTTTAGGTATAATTTGTGCTCCACACTGTGGATAATTGTCTTTTTCTTCTTAACTTGTAGTGCCTGAAACAGTACATGCAGCTGGCAATTCGAGAAGGATGTGGTTCTCCAATCACGTGTCCTGATATGGTGTGCCTAAACCAGGGGACCCTGCAGGAAGCCGAGGTATGGATGAGTGTCCGTCTTGCCCCTTCTTCCCAGGGAGGCTATTTCCCAGCCTCCTGACTTCGTAGGGAGAGCCCAGGAGCCAAAGGCATAAACCAGCTCTTTCAGGAAGTGCTTCCTTGCTCTGTAACTTGAAATTCCTTATTAATGGCTCGAATTGTTATTGACTTCAGTTTTATTTATAGAGGCTATCTGCATGATAGCCTCTATAAATGAAGGAGCTGGAGAGTGGGCGAATGTGCTGAAAATCAGATTTACCAGATGGGAAATTTGGAGGCCGACGGGTGAGTGGCCTTTGATCACTAATACTTTAAAGATAAACTGACAAAGGATTAGCCGGTTATCGACAATATACATTTTTGTGATTCCACAAAGGTAGTCCGAGCTAAACCATTTCCAAAAGGCCTTTTATCCAATCTTCAGAAGTATCATTTTTGAGTTCTTCATTTTCTTAAGCCTCCGATTTATCTCTTTCCTTTGTTCAATCCCCGATCAGTAGCTTGCCCCTATATCTATCTTTTTATCTTCAGAGCCTATTCACTTGAGATGTGAAGTTAAAAAACTTTTCCCCCATTCTTGGAAGGATCTAAGATCCATAAGGGACCACAAAAGTCCCAAGACAGAGATGAAGTTAATTCATTCAGTAAAGATGGTACACCAAGCTCTCTTTCAGTTGCTCTCAGAGCCTACATACTAGCAAATTCTTTCAATCAGAACAGGAAACAGGCCCAATAAGGTTAAGGTTCCTGATTTCCTATTTGAAAGGTAGAAGCTCTAGCTTCCCAATGCAGTTCTTTGTGGCACTATAATTAGGAAGTCGAGCCAGGGAGATATGCTATGCATGGCAGAGGCATATGCACTTGTTGAATATGCACTACCGTGTCTTAGCTATGTGTGTCTATATGTGTGAATTGTAAGTAAAGCATCAGAAAGATGGTATAGATCATTTTTAACCAGTTTGTAGCTGCATGTCTGTTCTGCTTACGGAGTATCAATTAAGTATGATACAATCAAGGTTGAGTGTTTTTCTAGAGAATTTAAAAGGGATATATAATAGTGAAGATGTGACTTTTTTTTTGATTTTTGGGTCACACCCGGCAATGCACAGGGTTACTCCTGGCTCTGTGCTCAGGAATTACCCCTGGGGTGCTCAGGAGACCATATGGGATGCTGGGAATCGAACCTGGGTTGACCTCATGCAAGGCAAAGGCCCTACCCACTGTGCTATTGCTCCAGCCCCTGACTTCTTTTTTTTGTTATTATTCTTTTTTGGGTCACGCCCGGTGTTGCTCAGGGCTTACCTTGTGGCTCTGTGCTCAGAGACCACTCCTGACAGTGCTTGGAAACCTTCTGGGTTGCTAGAGTTCCAAGCCAGGTTAGCAGGATACAGGGCAAATTCCCTACCGGCTGTACTGCCATTTTGGTCGAAGATATGATTTATTTTAAGAAAATCATGAAATAATCAAATTGTGTGGAAAAGAAGGCACTGTTGAATATGCAGATCCTGTGGCGAGAAATTGGTTTGCTTTTGTCTGAGTTGTGGGTAGAGGAAGGCAGTTGCAATTGGGGAAAGATTAGGTTAGTGATCTGGAACATTGAAATGGATGGATGCAACTTGGAATTTTTTTTTTTTAAATGAGACTCTGTTATGTTGGAGTATCTTCCTGTGCATAATCCTTCCTGGGAAGGTTCCTTCCATTTTTGACTTGCTTCTTTAAGTCTGAGCAGTCAAGAAGTGCTTATTCAAAGGGCACATAGTGTGAATGTGTGTGTGTGTGGGGGGGGCGGCGGGAGGGAGCACAGGACAGGGATCCTGTCCTGGGGTGATGAGGACGGGCCCATTGCTCTCTTCACGATCTTCTCTCCTGCTAGAGAGATAGGAGAGTGAGGTGTGCACCATTCAAAATGGGAAAAGCCTGAGACGCAGCTGACAGCAAGAACTGTATCTAGTATGAAACATTATGTCTGTTAATCTGTTAAACATAAAGGGCATGTCTGGTGATGTTTCAGGGTGAGCCTTTGAACTTAATTTTGTCCCATATTTCTAGACTGTTGTGCTCCAGTCCTGCAGTTACCAACACCCTGTGGCTGTTTACCTCTAAATGAATGAAAATGAAAGTAACTTAAAAAAAAAATCAGTCTTTCGGTTGCTCAGTAGCCACACGTGCTCAATAGCTGTCAGATTGGACAGCCCAGAATAGAACATTTCGACACTGTGGGAGATTGTGTTGCATCATGTGGTTTAGCTAGACCTGTGAGTGAGTGATAAGCGTCAGCCATCAGCACTGCATCAGGGGTTGGGATATGTTAGCACTTATGAGGGCAGACATTTCCCGCCTTAAGGAAATGTCTCTTTCCCATTTCTTCTCCTCTTAACTCTTTATCCTCCCCCCACTCCCTTACCCTATCTTCTTTATACTTCTGTATTTCTGATTCCATTTGTCCAGTTTTACTCTAAAAGCAAATTTAGCCCGTATTAAAAACCATAGCCACACTGCTCTTCAAACTTACCAGAGGACGTTTGAAAACCAGCACAAAAACATAATCCAAGCTACATGATGGTATTTGTAAAATTTGAGCCTGTTTCCTGTTAATGAGTTAAGGAGATGTTTACATTACTTGTAATTAATGAATAATTAATGAATACAATTAATTCTAGCTGCATTCATGAGCATTAATGGGACAATTTCTGTACTCACTGGTCTGGCTGAAAGAGAAACAGTAAATGTATAGTGATCAACTGTTCTTAACCAACTTGCCACTGTTGGTATATTGTGTGTTTGGTTTGTTTTGATAAAAAAATGATGGTAAGAATGTCTATAATTTTAAATGGAGAAAAGGCAGATTTTATTGGAGATATTGATAGTTTCACGAATTTGTACAGGAGTATGCTCTTCAAAACACACATGTGAACTTGGGCTAGAGCTCCTTCCTTTCTGACTTGCTGTTGTGAAACTTTTCTTATATCTGGTCATATTGTATTTAATATAGAGCTGTTTATTTAGGCAGTTCTGTGTGAATCCTAATGGGATTTAGCCACTGCATGCTTGACTGGGTTCTATCTCCGTGACGACTTCTTCCTTTCAGAAAAACATTTGAGGAGCCGAAGTCATAGTACAGCAAGTAGGATGCTTACCTTGCATGTGGCCAAGCCAGTTTGATCCCCAGCACCCCACATGGTCCACCAAGCCTGGCTAGAGTGGTCCTCTGAGCACAGAGTTAGAAGTTAGCCCTGAGCATCACTGGGTGTGACTCTGAAAGCAAAAAGAAGTTTGATTAGACACGTAACACATCAGTACACTTTGCTTGTAAAAGTCATTCTGGTTAAGGTTAAATTTCTCTCTGTGTTGCAACCAATGGTTCTTCATCGTTCATTGACTTGGAGGCTGTGTTTCAGTGTCACGTTTCTTCATCTTCAGAGGATGCCAGCACGGACGCTTGTTCCTCTGCCTGCTTTCCCTGAAGCTTCAGCTCACACTGTTGCCTGTGCTCCAGGTGGAGCCTCCCTTAGGATTCAGGTCTTGCTTCCTCCGTGCTTCTAGATTGGCTCCGTGCTCTGCCTCTCAACATTTATTGATCAGGAAACAGCTTCATCAGCAAAGTGTTATGCCCCAGTCAAATACTGTTTGCCTTGGGTAGGAAACAGTAGGGCAGGTCATTTCCTGTCCAGCATCCCAGAAGCCATTGGGGGATGTGTCCCCAAGAGCTGGGGGCTCATCATGCTCCCATGGGAAGCCAGGGAAAAGCAGGACTTTCCTTCTTTGGGTCATCTGGTACTTTTAGTGGTGGCTATGCCGGGCCTTTCTTTTTTAAAAAAATATTTTATTCGTGAATCACCACGAGGTACAGTTACAGACTTACAAACTTCCGTGCTTGAGTTTCAGTCATACAATGATAGAGTACCCATCCCTCCACCAATACCCATTCACCACCACCAATGATCCCAGTATCCCTCCCACCATTCCCACCCCATCCCTACCCCCGACTCCACCCTGCCTCTCTGGTAGGGCATTCCCTTTTATTCTCTCTCTCCTTTTGGGTGTTGTGGTTTGCAATAGAGGTATTGAATGGCCATCGTGTTCGGTCTATAGTCTACTTTCAGCATGCATCTCCCATTCCTAGTGGGTACTCCAAAGACCCTTTACTTGGTGGTCCCTTCTCTATCTGAGCTGCCTTTTCCCCCAGCATGTGAAGCCACCTTTCAAGCCATGGAGCAAACCTCCTGGTCTTATCTCTACTATTCTTGGGTGTTATTCTCCCATTCTATTACTTTATATTCCACAGATGAGTGCAGTCTTTCTATGTTCCTCTCTTTCTGACTCATTCACTTAACATGATATTTTTCATGTTGATCCACTTATATGCAAATCTCATGACTTCATCTTTTAAAACAACTGCATAGTATTCCATTGTGTTGATGTACCAAACTTTCTTTAACCAGTCATCTGCTCTCGGCACTTGGGATTGTTTTTCCAGATTTTAGCTATGGTAAGTGCTGGGCCTTGCTGAGACATTGAATCCAGGCCTGGTTTCCAGTGTGAAATTATGAAAGGTAGGACCAGGTAGTCTCTGAGGCAGTACTGCAGGCAAGGCCTTTGCATGAAGCTACAGCCTTGCTGAGAGGCGATGACTCATGGGAGCATCAGGTATGGAGCATAGCACTGCTGGGGCCAGGGAAAGCCTGAGCCATTTGTTTGGGTGATCTGAAAGTGTCAAGTGCACAACCTGTTGGAGTAGTACTTCCTGTAACGCGACCTGAGAAATTAAACTTCTCCTCACTGCCCAATTAAACTTCTCCTCACTGCCCAATTAAACTTCTCCTCACTGCCCGCTGGCTGTGCAGAGCAGGCAACAAACTCTCACCTACCAGTTTATTGTCTAAACCCCGGGGCACTGAAACAACCAGTTTGTCTTTTTTTTTTTTTTAATTAAAAAAATCTTATTTGAGACACGGTGATTTATAACACTGTTAATGACAGGGTTATTTCTCATGCAGACAA